TAAATGTTTAGCGATGAAAAGCTTGTGTATTTTATTCAGAAATATAATTTGTAGCATATAGTAAGGTGGTATCCTTGTCTGTTTGGGAAATTCTCTATTTCCCTTTTATATTTACATATCATAATTATCTGTACAATAATCATTACATTTTGAAAGGTCAAAGGCGGTTCTTGGTGGTTTCTCTTGATAGCTTGCCACTTGGATAAACGCAATGATGAATTATGCTGAGTTGTCGCCGCCTTACCATGCTGAGCTGGCATGTTATAGATATCGGTCTACCCAATTATAACCGGTACGTCGTGGCTGATATGTAGTAACCGACATGTGTCGACCGACATGTGTTGACCGACATGTGTTGACCGACATGTGATATCGGTTAACTTAGTGAGAATGTCGGTTTCTGCTGAATCTTCATTGTGTAGTTGTCTGGAAGTTGGTAGAAGTGTCTCTTGCTCACATGAACTCTAATCACCATTATATTGATCTCAATCGACGGGTTAGTGTCGCTTAATCCGATTTACAGAAAATGATATCAACAAGGTGGCCCCCAGCATTAATGGTCGTCTGGGTAAAAGACGGGCAATGATGCTGAAATTGCGATGGACCTTGACAAAATTCTTGTATTGACGCGATATGTCGGTTTCGCCATTTGCACCCGACGTCTTCGCACTTGCGAAAATAACATTCGAAAGTTGAAACGGCAGGCTTTATTGAAATTAATTGCACCGTTTTATATATAGGAAAAACGGTCACTGAACATAGCCACGTAGCTATTATGAAGAGGCACGATTTCCAAGGGTTGTGTCGACTCGCAGATCTGGAGTGTGCAATTCACGCGCCCCTATTTCCATCGGTTCTCAACGGTCGCATCGATCTAGGGCATTAATATAAATAGGAATTTCGCTTTCGAGATCTATTTTACTTTCATTTTCTTTGTGCAACCATATTTTCTGCTTCTTCTGCAAATTAATCTCCTGATATCCGTATTCAAAGCAATTCAGATTCTCGGACAACTTCCTGTGGTAAGAATTCCCCCTTATATTTCATTCATTTATACCGATTTTTCTTCTTCTTTTGTTAAACATCATGAGCGTATCCTGGGCGTCTTCGGGTGACGACGAGTTGGACGTGATGATGATCAATATGGTTCACTCTGGGGAGTTAGAACTATTGTCTGAGTACAACCGGTGGGATCCGGTGTTTGTCGAACGATTGAAGATCCGCTTGAACGATGGTGAAGGGGATAAAGTTGTAGAGGAAAATGCCGTCGACGACCCAAGGTTTTGGAGACGACCTATCAGGAGATGGCCAAGCCCAGAGATAACATCTCACGGAGAGCCA